TATGCCATTATCTGTATCATGCTTATGAAGCTGCATTAATAAAAGTTAATATCCTACAAGACCATATTTTAGATAGCATTTGATTCAAACAAAAGATCACATTGAATTGATGTAAATAACTATTTTGGAATACATCTTAATAATCTATATTTGCCAAAGAAATCTTCTTATTTATACCTTTTAGAATATGCTGGTTTGGTATTAGCAAATTTTTTACTGTTTGAGAAGTAAATATTTCATTGTTAATGTTATATTTTTGTAAAGAACTCATTTCTCTTTGTATCATCATATAAAGGGAAGAAAGGAGTAATTTAGGTCGGACTGACACATCTTAATTAAAGCATTAAAAGACACATATTTGAAAGATCTCTATTTCCACATGTTCTGGAATAAAAACCAGACAAGCAACATAATAAAACTTCATGGGACCTGTAGAAGTCTGAATAACCAATTACTTAAAAATTTCACCATCTGCTCTCATTGAAGCAGCAAGACTGAGGCATTTTCCCGCATTACAAACCATAATAATCAGAATGTAATAGAATGGGAACATCCTTTCCCCCACTTTCTTATTTGCTGTGGTGGTTCTTAATGAAAACTTGAGCTATACAAACAAAGGAAAGGGGAGGATACTCCTCGACCCCATTTCCTAATTGAGCACTTGTATCCAGTAATAGCTTTTGCTGCCCTGGGCAGCATGACATTGCTTCATTTGGCCATGCACAGCTATTATTCTAGGAGGCAGCTAGTGAAGTGTTCCAATCCATCTGCTTGCTTTTCATGGACTGGTGCTTTCCTTGATGTTGGCAGCTGTCTTAATATTCCTGGGCCACCTGCCACGTAGTAAATACTGTGCTCTAAGATATATACAGAAGTTTGTCCCTCTGGTGGACTTCTCAGAACAAAAAGCTTAGCATTTCTAAACTACACTTGCATCTTTGTTTAAACGCTTCAGGGACCAGCACTTTGTTCTCATACTTCTGAGGTGTAACTCTGGGAGTTACAGTGTGATAAACCAGATTTTTTCACATATCAAATAAACTATTGAATTGCAGACTTTGTGGAAGTCACGGTGGTCACAGAAGGTAGAGAGGAAGCGAGCATACTGACTGTTATTTCCTCTAGTAAGCCTTCCTGGCATCTTCTAGACTAAGTTGGGGAGCCATCCTATATAACCGCTTAGAAGCAATCCCCTGTCATACCCCCTTTGTTCATGTTTCCTCCATAGATCTTGCTCCTGGAGGGAAAGCATTTGGCTTTTCTCACTGTATCTCTAAGAATGAGCATGTACCTGATACATAGTTGACACTCAGGGACAGATCCAAGTTTTTGGTATCTGAAGATTTTTACAATTTGCAGGGGGTCCTCTTTAAAGAAAAATGATTTAAAATTAAAAATAAAACATATAAAAGTGAATGAAAAAATAAATCATGCAAATTACCAATTTAAAACGGTCGACTAATATTACAAATATCACAAAGTCTAGAAAAACAATATTTTTTCCATTAACTGCCTGATACACCTCTTTAATACTTTTCTATTTTTGGTAGTATACTTTTTGATAGACTTTCATATGACCATGATTTTCAGTTATCATTTTCTATACATAGAATGGAAAGAATTCAGTCTTTCCTCAAGTATGGTTGAGCGTATTTATTGATAGAAGGGCTGTGCAAACATGTAACACATACACATTCACTGTTTCTGGTATTGCTACTGGTGTGTCTTCAAACAAGAATACTGATTAATTCTATTTTACTTGATTTTCATAAAAAAAGTTTGGTGTACTTACAGTTATAAAAATTGTACACACTGTATTATTGAACACATAAGAGAAATCACATCAATTAAAAGTCATTCTTCCTCTTTTGGTTTTGTCTTTAGATGCCTGTATGTTTCAAATCTTGTTTCACCTCTACTATCCCATATTTTCAGTGTTAGGGGACATCTGGTCCTACATCTTGGGTGGAATGTTTGGTGAGTTGTACAGTGGACAAATTGGAATGTATGCAACAACTTTGGAGAAGTTGACAACCACATAAACATATCCCACCAAATCTAAACTAAATGTATTCCCAACTCAAATTCCCCATCAGATCCCAAAATGCCCCCCAAAACTCCAATGCCAACTGACTCTAGGAATAGTGTGGTGGAAAATCCAGGTAGAGATTGTGGCCTTAGTCAACTATAGTTAAAACATTTACGTTTGTAAATTTCACAAAAACACAAGGACATGTGATCACAAAAACACAAGGACATGTGATCACATTCCTGAGTTCACACTGGAAGCTTTACTTTCAGCAGTTTCACATTAAATATGTGTCTACTGTTAATACTCACTAAATGTCTTCTGAACACCTGAGTGAATGAAGACACCATGCTAAATTAGCATCTCTAAGATCCTCACAATTCTAAAATTCAGCAATTTTACAGACTTCCCAATGTGATCTTAGAACTTAGTATTTATTCAGAAATGTGTTATTATGAGTTCATAGTGTAAGGATGTAAGACATCTAGGAACTGATAGATATTAGAAAAGTAAATAAAAATTCAGGGGTCATTTTACGGCTTTAAGCTAATTTTTCATAGACAAAGTTTGCCTTAGTGGAGGCAGGGCACCACGTGTAATTACAATTCATTCAAGTGCTTTGTTCTACCACAGAGTGGAGATTAGAGTATCATTAGATATTCATTGTTTTCTTCATGAAGTAGTGGCTTTAGAGAGAAAAAAAAATATCATTAGTCTGTATCGGCCCAACTGTTTAGGGGCCTCTAATAACAGTTACATTATCTTATACCATTATCTACTATCCATTAATAGAAGGGATTCTAGCTGGATGAACATTAGCATTATTTCTACTATTTGTACTATCACCACCAACACTAGACAATTTCTGTATGAAAGACTTTACACGTCATGATTTTGATGCCTTCTGACTTAGCAAGGATAGTGGCTATTGAAGAACTATGACTATTATGGCATTTTCCTTGAGAGCAATTTTTTAGAGAAATTCTTATTCTTAGAGAAATGTTATTGTTAGTTAAAACAATAATTGAGTAGTAAGTCTTACTGGCTCCCACCTGCTTTTATCCCCAGAAAGACTTCCTGAATAATCCACCCTCTGGGTAGGCATTAGGGGTAGGGCCTGCTTTGGTCATGGTACAATTGGGAGACACATCTGGTAGTTATTTAACATTCTTTTGGGGAGATACATTATTCTCTGAGCCTTCCTCTCTTTGCTTCCTTATTTTCTGGGTCTTCTGGTAAATGGGATTTTAATGGAGATTCTCCCCTAAAATAATAAGGTTAGAATTGGGAACTTTACCTAATTCTAGTATACTATTCTAGCTTTTTATATTTTCTGAGGCTCACAGAAAAGGAGGAGAGATTCGCAATAGAGAAAACTGGTTAATGTTGAGGGGTTGTCTGGGATGAACCCAGCTGAAGGAAACTGGGGTGATTTAACTCTGGTGGATTAAATCGAGCCAAAATAAATTAGAGTGAGTGCCTTGGGCTCTACTGCAGTTAGAAAGGGCTGAAATACTCCTTGGAGGCAGCTGTGGGGTGGGCAAGGAGTCTCAATAGCCAGCAGCTGGTGCTGAAATGACTTGAGGCTTACAGACATCCAGTCTACTCATAAACAACCTTCTCCTCCAGGATTCCAAAGCCAAAGGTGGGATGACCCCAAGGTACATTGCTCCCCCTTGCCAAGTCAAGACTGCCTTGGACATTTCATTTTGGTCTCATTTATTTACATACAATTTTTAGTGAACAAGCGTGCCATATCACTTCTGTCATTTCTACACTCTCTCAAGGAGAACCAAAACAAAACACCTAGGGGGAATGGGCCTCACTGTGTCCTGCACAAGCCACAAAGGGGTGTGTGTGTGTGTGTAAATCCATACTACTGCATTAGTGAAATAAGTCAGACACAGCATAAATACGACTTGATGCCATTTATAAGGTGAACCTAAAATAGTCAAATTTATAGAAGCAGAGTGGAACGGTGGTTGCCAGGTGCTGGGGGAGAGGGAGAAGAAATTTTAGTCAAAGGGTACCACGTTTCAGTTATGTGGGATGAGTAAGTCCTAGAGTTCTGTAGCACAGTCCCTATAGTTAATAATATTGTATTTTATGTTTGAAAATATGCTAAGAGGGCAAAGTCGTGTAAAGCATTCTTATCACAAAATTATAATAGAGAAAGGAAACTTTTTGAGGTGATGGATAATTTTATAGCGTAGATTGTGATGACGGTTTCACAGGTGTACATTTATCTCCAAACTCAAGTTGTATACATTAGGTACAGCTTTTTTGTATACATAAAAATATTTTTTAATAAAAACTAAAAAAAAGCATTGTTTCAGCACTTACAAGTTTGAATCATACTTGTTTTTGATTATGTCGTTTTTGTAAGAGGGTTTGCAGAGTAGCAGTATGTAACATGAAGTATGAGAAACTTAAAGGTCATCTGGGTTAGGAAATGTTACTCCACACGTCAGCCGGCCAAACAAGAAACGAATTGTTGATAGACCTAGACAGGCACCTCCTCCACTTCTGAGGCTCGGCCCTTGCTAACTTCATCTTTTGCAGCCTTGGTGGACACTGTTTTTGAGCAGCTGCTTGTTAGCTGCAGGGCAGCCCGGCCTCCCTGCTAATGCAGTTTACCAGGTGCTTTCACAAACGTTAGTTCGGAAACCTCTTCCAAAAGTCTGAAAACTTTCCGTGCACTGACTGGAGGACAGAAAACAAATCACTCATAGAAAGTCAGACTTGAGCGCAAAGCCAGATAGGATGCAGCCTCAACTGGCTGGGGCGCGAAGCCCTGAGCCAGCGTCGTGGGTGGCGCATTCTTGGCTCCGGGTCCCGGGTCAGCACTTGCAGCGGCGACCCAGCCAGCCCAGGAGGACCGCGGCGAGGCCAGGACAGGCCGAGGCGGAGCCGCGGCCTCTGGCTCCTCCCCGGGGCGTCCCGCGGGGGCGGGAGGAGGAGCCGCGGCGCCGAGCGAGGGCAGCGGCTTCGGGAGCGCGTAGCGCCCGCCTCTCCGCCTGGGGATGGACTGAGCCACGCCGGCTGCCCGCGTCCAGTCGGTCCCTCCTGGGCCGGGCTCCGGACGCAGGACACCGCCTCGCCGGTTCCCAGCAGACGGCCCTGGACGGGTAGCCGCGCCCGGGAGATGTCCGGTGGCCGGAGGAGGGGCGGCGGCCCCTGGCACAGCTTCTCCCGGTTCTTCGCTCCCCGAAGCCCTTCCCGGGACAAGGAAGAGGAAGATGAGGAGAGGCCGGGGACGAGCCAGCCGCCCGCTCTGGGCCTGGGTGCCGCCAGGTGGGAGCCACGGGGACCGTCGCAGGGGTCTTGCGCGGACTCTGGGGACTGGGGCTCTTGGCCCGCTTGCCCGCTGCCAGGCGCTGTCGTGCCAGGTTTCCTTGGCTCGCCACTTTCTGTTCTCCTTCCTCCATTGCTAAAGTTTCCTCCTTCCCGCCCTGTTCCCCAGCCACATCGCTCCCCACTCTCGGGTTTGTTAAATGTAAAGTTGGTGGCTCGCGGACGGGTGCGCCCACCGGGCCCCGCGCAGCCCGCGCTCGTCCTCCCCCTCCCCGATCCTCCGGGTGCGGGACCCGGTGCAGGTTCCGCGCCGGCGTCTGCTCGCTGTCAAGTTCTGGGGCAGAAGCGAGTCCTGCGGCGTCCCGTCGGCGGTGGTGGGAAATAGGGTGAGCCCGGCGGAGCCATCCGTCGGGCAGCGAGGGAGCAATGCGAGCACCACCCGTGTGGAAAAGGTGAAGCTTTGGAGCGCCACCCCCTCCGCTGGTATTTTGTCGTCTAATTTGAATTTTCTCAAAAAAATGTAAAAAAAAAAAAAAAGGAATTGTGATCCTGAGTACCCAAGACTTCATCAAAATATAAAAGCTTCGCTAGTTTTATTACCATTGCTTGAACGTTTAAATGATGCCGCCCCTCCCGCCCGGTCTCTTTTCGGAAAACATCTTCCTCAGGTTTCCACTGATTCCAGAAACCAAGGACTCCAGCTGTCTTGGTTTCAGTAATGAAAACGTGGCTCTTCTCTGTAGTCTTTTCTCCTTCCTCCACCTGCTGTAAAATTGATGTTTGTTTTTTTAAAGGTGTTCCTCAATTAAAAAGCTTGTCTTTTCGGTTCGTCCTGAAGCAGGAAGGATTTAAGTAAATACAACTACTTGTTTTAAACTTTTGGTGAGGAAAGAAGATTAAACCCTTCCTCCCTCAGATTCCACTAGAAGAGTGTATAACCATGTGATTAGAAGGATGAACTCCAGAAAGTTATGTTTACTTCAGGTTTTAAAGACTTCCTGGAGGGCTTCAAAGAAAACTGGATAGGAGACAGAACTGTAACTGTGACTGAGCTGGTTTCATTAGTATTAAGGGTTTTTGATTTGATTATAGACGGTTATGTGTTCCTCAGTTTCCCTACTTGTGAAACATTTGCATTATGACCATCTGTTAATAAAATCCCACATCTTTCCAAGAAAGCTCCTTCTGAATAGGTAAATTTCTCCTGGGAAGTTTCAGCTCTTACTGCCCCTACTGTTCATGTAGAATTTAAAATTCAGTTACCCAGTAGTTAAAAATAGTTTTGAAGTCTGACAGTGCTTAACCAGAACGTCAGATCTGCTGGTGTGGGCAGACAGCCTGTGGTGCCTGCCATCACTGTAACAACATTAACAGTCTTGGATAATGTGGAAGTGGTGTTTAAAAGAAATCCCAAGTAGACTTAGCGAAAGTTGGAAACTTGAGTCAATGTTAGAAAGGATTAGGTAGGCCAATTTCAGGTTCATAGCAGAATTGTCCTGGAACCCTGCCTGCCTTCCTGCCCTATTTTGGCCTTTATCAGTCTTTTGTCTAGTTACCACTTTATTCTCATTATTTCCAAATAGGCACAGACTGTGGCTTTTTGACAATGAAAATTTTAATTCTGCTGACATGAACACTAATTTTTTCCTCATCTTTTTTAGAACATGCCAGATGTTAAGGGAATAGCAGATAATCCTTTGTGTGGGTGTTTTACCTTTTAAATGAGCTTAAATCTTTTCAAGGATATAAACAAAGCCTTTATTGAAAGTTTAATGAAACAAATGGAAACACTTAGTAGTACCAAATGTCCTAGTAACACAACACTCTGGTGTTAACAAGATTGGAAACAATTGCGATTTGTCACTGTGATGTTATTTCAAAACAGAAAGGGTATTTTGGCTGTTTCTCTTAGAGTCAGTTAAAAACTTAGTTCTAATGGAGCCAGGTTTACCTTCTGCACTGGTGATTTCATAT